CAGGGTCCTCGCAGCCTCCAGAACGTGTTCTCACTGCTGTCAGTGTCCCTGCAGGCACAGGGCACATCACTCATCAGGAAGAGGCTCAGCAGAGCCATAAAGTGCATTTCATGAGCAGGAGGAGCCTGGGACATGTCCTTGGTGTTTTCTTTGCCTGCAGATGTGGTGTCCTGGCTCAGTGGCTCAGAGGTGAGCAGTGAGGGCTGCCTGTACACACAGCACAGGAGCTCACAGCACGGGTTATTAGTGGGGCTCTTCCAAATCTGGGTCACCTCTGAGTGTTTCTTAATATAACACTTTCTGTGTCTATTGGTTTACTCTTAAAACTAACAGGGAATCATTTTCAGTTAAAAATTATATATGTACAAAAGTCCCTTAAAGAGACAGTTCTCAGCCTGCCTTGGAGAGAACTGCTGGTTTAGAATTAGTGTCCAACCTTTAACTCACTCTGTGCCTTCAAACTCAATTTAATAAACAAATTTAGCTTCTTCCACCATTTTTAGGAGGTTAGATGTCCTGTCCTTGTGGTGTTCAACTAAATGTTGGCTTATGGTCCAGTACGAACTTCAATCCAAATGCTCTTCCTAAGACTAAAATGATCTTTGTGGGTTTGGAATTGAGCTGAGTTGCAGTGGAGAGGGATGCAAAGGGATGGGCTGGGAAATGGCCATAAGTCAAAGGCAGGAGAGCACAGGGAGCTCTGTGTTCCCTCTGGTCACTGTGTTGCAGTGATACTCTGGGACAAGAAGGATGTGATTAGAGTAGGTGATGATGTAAAGAAGAAAGCCTTGGACTTTTGGGTACTTTTTTTAATCTAGAACTGAGAGTAAGGGAAAAGATTGTCAGACACAGCTGTTCTGTGGTGAGTTTGCCATGATGTGAGGCACAGCAGCAAGAGGGACCTGGGTAAAATTCTATCCCAGGTTTGCAGCAGGTCCATGGCAGGCAGCGAGGTGAGCTCAGGTTCATCTGGTGCAATGGCAGTGTCCTCTTTTGCAACAGGCTTTGAGATCTGCTGAAGGAAGAGGGACTAGAAAAGCAAGGTGTTACCTGGCCAGAGGTACAGCAGAGCAGCTTTTTAGAACAGGTAAGAATTACTTTCGCAATGCCTTTTTATACGGTTCTTTTTATACAGTGTGTAATTATCTTGTGGGTGTCTAATTACTGAGGTCTAGAGTTTTGTGGGTTGCATTCTCCACCTTTCCATTACGTTTTGGAGGGACATAAACCTCATGTTCCAGAATGTAAAGCAGCCACTAATGACTCAGACTGGGAGGAATCTCTTCAGAGAGGAAGATACTCCGTAACTCTCTGTGGGAAAGGATCCAGCCCTCACGTTTGAGGTGCTTGGATCAGGCACTGCCAAGGCTGGATGAGACAGACCATGGGCCAGAGCCAGAGTAATCCACCACAGCAGTTCCTGCTGGTCATCCTTATGGCCACACTGGACCAACAAACCCAGAATAAGACTGCTGTTAAATATGACTCTGAACAGCCTCAAAGGGAATTAATTAATAAGCACCAGTCTATTCTTGGGTGAAATCCAAGCCTTAGAAACCTGAGAAGAGAAGATTTAGAACATGATAGAGATTGGGCAGAAGTTTCTTTTCCACTGGGTCCCTTAAGTTGCGACTCCAAACTTCTCAGCAGTTTGGTTCCATGTGGATCTCCTCAGTGCCTGCAGGGGCAGGGGCACAACTAATCCCACACACTGTCACTGGCAGATGATATCTTGATTTACGTTCGGCAGAGGTGTGAGGGAGTCTGGGGCATGGCAGGATCTGCACAGACGTGTAGAAGCTCAGGATTGTCTCTATGGGTTGGTTTGTCAAACAAACAATCCTTGTAACATGGCTGTAATCTCACTCCAGAAAACATGTTTCTGCAACAGTGCCTGAGGCTCTGCTCCAGGGCTCCTCCTGTCTTCCTACTCGTGGTTCCCCACTCCTAATCCTTTCTTAATAAGTGGTGCTACATATTTCGCAGCACTTCCATTGTTGGAGAATGACTGTAACACCCAAATCCACTGCCTCTGCCTGCCGGATATCTGGGTTAGAAAGTGAGGCTGCCAGGGAATGCTGCGTGAACTTACTCAGCACTCCTGTTCCCTCCCACAAAACCTATTTTCCCCAAGTATAAAGATTATGGAGATGTGATGTGTCCTGATTTTGCAGACTCCCAGCCTATACCTCCCCATATTTCCCACTGTGGAAATGGACAGATCTCAAGTATTTTTTCCTAGTTTTTTTAATCATTCTAGTTTCTGAGGATCCTTATATAAAGGTCACACACTGTGCCCCTGGACACAGAGGGATGATGAGTGAACTTCACTCTTAGGAAGCAACACAAGTAGTAAAAGAAACACTAAACCAGCGAATATTGTGAAATATGAGAGCATTAAGTATTCTAATGAAAAATAAGAATTAATGAAGGAACAGATCCTGGGATAAATCAGGTGGAAGAGAAGCCTTCAGGAAGGTGAGGCTCCAGCACAAGTGTTGGATACGGATGCCATCTGCTGGGTACCCACCCC